AGCAGGAGGATGCTCAAAGGTGCTGTACAGTCAGGGATTCGGACCCAAACAAGGGAATGGGATCAGGAGGGGTGGGGGGCAGGGAGGATAGGAGTAGGAGAGTGGCCAAAGGTGTGGTCAAAGAGGAGTGTCTTGAGATATGCCTTGAAGGAGGCAAGGGAGATAGCAATGCAAAGGGACTGGGGGATGGAGTTCCAAAGGGTGGTGCAGAGAGACTGAAGGCCTGATACAATTGAATAGAAGGCAAACATCCTTAGAGGCCACCATTAACTTTCTGGAATTTTATCAAAGTTTTCCAGATGCAAATACGAAAAATACATTATAATCCTTTTCCATACACAATTTTTATATAATAGCCTTTCTAGTGTTAAGGACAACCTTCATTTAAAAACTTTGATATACTGTATGATCTAAAGTTGATTAAACACATTAGCAGTTTTTATATTCATTAACTTTGTTTCAATTCCAATAGGACATATTGATATATATTGTCATTATTGTGATATAATTGTCATTATAACTACAGCAGTCAAGATAATTTTCAATTTACTCTTGTGCGTCTGTTGTGAGTTACTGCTTTGGATCTACTACTCATTTTATGAACCTCAGTTTTTGCCCATACTGTATTCCTAGCTTTTCTTGATTAAATGGGTTAATTCTATGGATGGATTAGGGGAAATAGAAAGAATTTTTGAAAATGTATGTTTTCCAACAGGTAAACAAAAATAGATCCATTCCTAAAAAAAATTCTGACAGTAACACAGAACGTTCTGGTTAAATCACTATCATTTCTAACAAACAAATCTTCTTTCAAGACTAAAAGAGCAGCCAAATGAGCCCAAGTTGGGCAGTGAGAGTCAGATAGAGATAACCATTGTTTGTCAACAGATTGACCTGATACTAAAGCTAAATCAATAGTTATTTTTACTGAGGGTAATTTGACCCATTTCAGACTTTTTCGTGAGTGTTTATATTGTGTTTTAGTATCTATACACTATTATATTTAATATCGCTATTTGTAAATACAATAATAGTAATTAGTTATTGCGAGCTGGTAATTGTTAGCTCTTGGATTCGTTTTCCGACTCTCTATGACTGTTTACAGTACAGGAACTGCTGTTAAGAGGGAGGTACTAAAACGCCTAAATCTGTAAATAAACACACCTGTAACTGAAGTATTTATTTACGAATGAAATAAATTACAATTAAATGTGCCCATGTTACTCCAAAGAAAATAGTCCAGCAAAATAAATTACTGTAGCATACTGCTAACCAATCCAGACTGATTTTCCAATTAGCTGATGACATTAGTGAACCCTGTGCATCCATATGGTTACTTACCCAAGCTGCCTGAGGACCAGATCAGGCAGCTTGTGTAACAGCAAAACAACCTAACTAAATAATAATAATAATCCTTGCATTTAATATAGTGCCTTATCACATCTTCAAGGAGTCTCAAAGCATTTCACAGGATATACTGTAAAGTGAATGGACATTTTAGGGGCAAAAGTAGTTGCTTTATAGCTTTCATAAAGATAAATTGAAACTGGGATTATTATACATTATTTTGATTCTAGAAACAGGAGGCCAAGGCTTCAATGTAATTTACCATTACCTTTTAATACTGCCCCACCAACAAAGCCACCTTTACAGCACTGCAAGCTAAAGGCAGTGATGCTACCCCTTCCCACAACATCAGCCACCTTTATTCTGGTCACTGGAAGGTTGCTCTCCCTCTCGCCATCGCAAGTGACTAATGTATTATTTTTCCAATTCTTGGCCTGCTCTAACTTTCTCCAGAGACTAGAATACTGTTAGGATTGGTGCCTGTCAAATAATGTCACATGAGTAAATGTTCACATATATAGCTGTTTCTCTGTGTTGTGAAATTCACTGTACAGTGTAAATGGGGTGAATTCCACTGTATCAAGAATTGAAGAGTTGCTTCCAGTCAAAACTGTTCTGCAATATCAATGCAACTTCTGTGAGTTAAGGAATTTTTTGACTCTTTTGGTCTTGAGTACTGAAAAGATCTCTTTGTAGTTTATGGAACTGAAAGAGGATATTGTCACACTGGGGCACTTTTGCACAAGTTGCATTACTGAAAATCCAGAAATAGTAAGCTGTCATACTCCACTCAAACTTACATTATTTAGTGCACTGTGGTAAAAAGCCACATCAACAGCAACATGAACTATTAATTTTTTAAACCCTATTATAACAAAGATATGTGGAAACAAATTATTATTCTGAAACAGTGGGCAAGTTTCCTTACTCCACACGCCTTGTTTACCTAGCAGTAGGTAGGAAACCGGTTGTTAGCCAATTAGTGGATCGCTTTCCAGAGGGTGATAATCTCTTAAAAAAAATACAATGATAATTCAGTCACTCAATCCACGACCGTTTATGGAACACTGCCGTGTGCAATTGGCTGCTGTATTTCGCCCACAAAATATTCAGTCACTACACTTTTACAGTATATTCTGTGAAGTGCTTTTGAGACGTCTCAACGACGTGATAAGGCACAATATCAAATGCAAGGATTATTGTAATTACTGTGATAAACACCTTTGCTGAACCCTTTCCTCTCTCCCCTCAAGCCCCAGTTATTTCCCCTTTATTCGCACCTTCCCTCCTCTGGTATCAGACGACTGTGTCTCCATGACACACCAACATCCGCTTCTCACAACACTTCCTCATCGCTTCCACTCGTTATTCATAGAAGCTTCCATTTCCTGTGCCTATAAACCCAGCTCCGGGGGGAGGGGGGAGGCGGTGACAGAGCCCAGCCCCATGTTCACACACACGCTGCTCAGCCCCAGCCCTCATGTTCACACATACAGCTCAGCCCTCACGTTCACACACAGCTCAGCCCCATGTCACACACACACAGCTCAGCCCTCACTTTCACACACGCAGCTCAGCCCCATGTTCACACATATAGCTCAGCCCCATGTTCACACACAGCTCAGCCCTCATGTTCACACACACACAGCTCAGCCCTCATGTTCACACACACAGCTCAGCCCCATGTTCACACACACAGCTCAGCCCCATGTTCACACACACAGCTCAGCCCCATGTTACACACACACACACAGCTCAGCCCCATGTCTCACACACACACACACAGCTCAGCCCCATGTCACACACACACATACACAGCTCAGCCCCATGTCACACACACACATACACAGCTCAGCCCCATGTCACACACACATACACACACAGCTCAGCCCCATGTCACACACACACATACACACACAGCTCAGCCCCATGTCACACACACACACACACAGCTCAGCCCCATGTCACACACACACACACACAGCTCAGCCCCATGTCACACACACACAGCTCAGCCCCATGTCACACACACACAGCTCAGCCCCATGTCACACACACACAGCTCAGCCCCAAGTCACACACATACACAGCTCAGCCCCATGTCACACACACACACACACAGCTCAGCCCCAAGTCACACACACACAGCTCAGCCCCAAGTCACACACACACACAGCTCAGCCCCATGTCGCACACACACACAGCTCAGCCCCATGTCACACACATACACAGCTCAGCCCCATGTTACACACACATACACAGCTCAGCCCCATGTCACACACATACACAGCTCAGCCCCATGTCACACACACACACAGCTCAGCCCCATGTCACACACACACACAGCTCAGCCCCAAGTCACACACACACACAGCTCAGCCCCATGTCACACACACACACAGCTCAGCCCCATGTCACACACATACACAGCTCAGCCCCATGTTACACACACATACACAGCTCAGCCCCATGTCACACACACACACAGCTCAGCCCCATGTCACACACACACACACAGCTCAGCCCCATGTCACACACACACACAGCTCAGCCCCATGTCACACACACACACACAGCTCAGCCCCATGTCTCACACACACACACACAGCTCAGCCCCATTTCACACACACACACACACACAGCTCAGCCCCATGTCACACACACATACACACACAGCTCAGCCCCATGTCACACACAGACATACACAGCTCAGCCCCATGTCACACACAGACATACACAGCTCAGCCCCATGTCACACACACACACAGCTCAGCCCCATGTCACACACAGACACAGCTCAGCCCCATGTCACACACATACACACACAGCTCAGCCCCATGTCACACACACACACACACAGCTCAGCCCCATGTCACACACACACACACACAGCTCAGCCCCATGTCACACACACACACACAGCTCAGCCCCATGTCACACACACACACACACAGCTCAGCCCCATGTCACACACACACATACACAGCTCAGCCCCATGTCTCACACACACACACACAGCTCAGCCCCATGTCACACACACACACACACAGCTCAGCCCCATGTCACACACACACATACACAGCTCAGCCCCATGTCACACACACACATACACAGCTCAGCCCCATGTCTCACACACACACACACAGCTCAGCCCCATGTCACACACACACACACACAGCTCAGCCCCATGTCTCACACACACACACACAGCTCAGCCCCATGTCACACACATACACAGCTCAGCCCCATGTCTCACACACACACACACACAGCTCAGCCTCTCACACAGACAGCGAAAGAGCTTTGGTCCCTCACTCCACGGCTGTGTGTCGGACGCTGCTCTGCGCAATTGGCTGCCGCGTTTCACCCACAAAATACATAGTCATTACACTTTACAGTATACCCTGTGAAGCGCTTTGAGACGTCTGGACGACACGATCAGGCGCTGCATCAAATGCCAGGATTATTATCACTATTATTCCCTCAGAAACCACCTCACAGACAAACAAACACCTCTCTCTCTCTCACACACAGCGGCCACCCGACTCCCATCTGTGGGCTATAACAAACACGAATTTATATATTATATAGAGGTGGAAAATCACAACAATCGTAATAAAAAGGGAGAGAGAGAGAGAGGGATAAACATTTACCGGTGGTTGGTTATGAAATGTCCCGTCAAACTGCACGACGTGCGATGAGCCTCGGGGTCAGGGAGAAGCTGAGGTAACTGTCCGCCTCGATGAAGCTCTCTCTCGCTCTCTCTGCCGTCGCCGTGCACCGCCCGCCCGGCGCCAGGCCCGGCCCGACCCGACCCGACCAGACCCGGCCCGACCCGACCCGACCCGGCCCGACCCGGCACGGCCCGACCAGACCCGGCACGGCCCGACCAGACCCGGCACGGCCCGACCAGACCCGGCACGGCCCAGGCAACGGCCCTCGGGGCGCCCCGCAGCCTCGCGCCGTCTCCCAGGTGACGGGGGGGGGAGGGGGCGATTGACGGTTATTTTTCGATTTGAAGCTCTCTGTCTGTCAGTCTGTCTGTGTCTCGCGCCGGAGCCGCCGCCGCCGCCCGCCCTTCGCGCGCGACAGCTGGACTGACTGTCAGTCAGGGGAGACGGGACGCCGGGCGGCGGGCGGGCGGGCGGGACGGGACGGGGAGAGAGAACGCCGTCCGCTGTGAGTACCTCAGGAGGAAGATGGAGGAGGGACGAGACGCCCAATTGAAGCCAAAGGCAAACGAGCGGCCGAGTGAGGCTGACAGTCAGGTCAGTCCGGGAGACGGACGGCGGTGGGAGCGCTGTCCGCTGTGACTCCCTCAGGAGGAAGATGGAGGGCAGACTGGCAGCAACCGCTCCAGCGGCCGAGGTTTGAGTCACACGCCCACACACACACACACACACACCGCCCGTCAGGCAGACAGACAGCGGCCCCTCCCGCCCTGGGGGGAGAGGGGGGGGAGGGAGAGGGGGAAAAAGAAAACGGCCAATAATAACACAACCCGCCCCGCGGCACAGCTTTCCTCGCGACGGCCTGTGCTCCCCACAGCCTGGCGCCCCCCCACAGCCTGGCGCCCCCCCCCCCCCCCGGCCCCCGGCCCCCGCCCGCACTGTAGGTTATTGTGTAAAAGCCACAGACGGACCCGCACACGAACACCAGACCAAGTCCCCCCCTGTGACCGTCCCGCCCTCCTCCCCCACCATCGGGGGCCGCACTCTCAGCCACTACCCCCCCCCACTCCCCCGCTCGGTGCCCGGGGACACTGCCCGGTGTGAGGCGCACTGGGGGTCAATGCAACGGGACCCGCAGCGCGCGGAGAAGGGCCGTCAAGGACAGACAGCACTTCCCTCCCACCGGGGCTCAACCAAACAGATCCCTCCATGACAGCACAACTGCCACATCAATGACCCTTTCCATTGGATACAGCGCCCGATCATGTTGTCCAGACGCCTCAAAGCGCTTCACAGGATACAGTGCAAAGTGGATCGACTGTGTCTTTTGTAAGTGGAAAGCGACAGCCGATTGCACGCAGCGGCGTCCCCGTAAACAGTCGTGGAGTGAGTGACCGGTTTTATTGGGGGGATTGTCGGCCACAACACCGGGAGAGAGAAACCCCTTCTCTTTTCGAATAGCGCCACAGGACGAACAGGAAGATGGGACCTCGGTTTGACATCTCATCCGAAGAACAACATTAAGGTTCAAAGTGTATTTGTATTTGGAGGAATGCCAGTGTATATGCGGTTGATTGTGGGCTTTTTTTTGTGAACTGTGAAATGTTGGATATTTTGGCTATGCAATAATGCATTATTATTGAGGATATAGAATATTATAAGAATCCTTGCATTTGTATCAAGGATTCTTATTATCCTCATTATATACAAAATCCTGCACAAATAATGTACATATGGTAGGCAATGATTTTTATATTATTGTAATCAGCAGTCAATTTATTTGAGGCAAATTGTATTTGCATTGAGCTGAGGCATGCATTTGGGACTACACACATTGGTGTTACATTGTATAATGATTAAGATAAAACACTATGTGTACTGATGCAAACCTCAATAAACATTGAGGAATGGCCCTATCAATATTAGGGTAAATATTGGTCCAAAGCTCTATGTCATTGATACACTACTTCTCTGTACTTGGAAGCAAAGCTCTACTTTGAGTTGATGTTCGATGTATGTTAATGCGCGCTTCTCTTTACATATATATATATGGATCTCAATGTCCATTGATGCAAAGCGACATGAATATTGATGTAAACTTCCATGTACGTTGATGCAAACGCTTTGTCTTCTTCATGTGCTTTCAACATTTAATTGTGACTGATTAATCATTTGCTAATGTAATTCCCAAAAATATGAATGAAACATTAAAGTAAAAAAGACCAATGTGGTGGAAATTAAGAATAAAGATTTGAAGAGAATATTATTATTATAATTGCTGGCTAAGAATGGAAAATATACAATAGATACCTTCCTTTCCTGTAAGCCTCCAATTTGTATGTAGAATTAGGACTATTTTACGGAGGCAGGTGTTTCTATTTGGATGAGCTTGCCAGTGAGCCTGATCACAGCTTAATTGCATTTGCCAAAGCCAAGATACAGTATTTACATACCACGTGTCCTTCAGTAATCCTTCCCTAACCTCTCTGATTCCCCTCTATGAACTGCCTAATCCTACCCTTCTGCCATCCACGCAAATTAAATTTATCTTGCACTAGCTAACTGAAAATAGTTTAAAGCAATTGTAAATTAGAATTATTACCCGTGGCTCATTATCACAGTTCAATGTATCACCGAACAGTAAATTTTAATATGTCATGTGGGAAGACATTTACCACAAAATGTCAGACAGATTCTGAGTTGGAAATAAAAAAACAGGAAAGAGGGAGAACTAACACGTTACAAAATCCTCTCTCGACCATTTCAATATATCAGTCATTTGGAACTGAACCTCGGATGATGAGCTTTAGACATTCACCAAAGATCAGAAGGCCGACTACCTTATGATACATTTAATATAATTAACATGTTATTTTTTCAAAAATAAAACAATTCTAGATTCAAGAATTGAAAAATTCCTCTCCTTAGCAGCTTCGCAGATTTTTGCAAGAATCAGTGATTAAGCAAGCCTATGTTCCTGAAACTCCCTTCTCTTTTCAAATCATGCCACGGGATCTTTAACATCCATCTGAACAGGCAGATAGGACCTCCGTCTAATGTCTCATCCGAAGCATGGCATAGAATATACTGTAAAGTGAATTGACTGTATATTTGTGGGCGAACGCGGCAGCCAATTGTGCACAGCAATGTCCCGCAAATAGTCGTGGATTGAAAATGACCAATTTATTATTGTTTTTGGTTTTGGAGGGATTATTATTAGGCTCTGTGTGGAGTAAGGAAACTTGCCCGAGGTTTCGCCCTGTACTCACACACACGCGCGCCACGGCAGTACTCACACACACACAACACGGCAGTACACACACACACCACGGCAGTACACACACATACACACCACTGCAGTACACATAGACTGTTCAGCACCTTGGGATGTCCTCCTGACGTAAAAGACGCTTTACAAATTTAATTTTGCTGCTGTTGTTGTGGTGAATTAATCTAATTTCTGTTTCGGAGCATGAGTTTCCACAACATCAACCAACATTAAGGCAACTCACAACAACAAGATTACACTTACACAGTCCGTTTCACTTTAGGAGGACGTTCCAAGGTGCTGTATAGTCAGGGATTTGGACCCGGGCAGTGGGGTTGGGATCAGGAGGACTGGGGCAGGGAGTATACCCAATATATAATATACATATATCATAATATATATTTATATATATACTATACAGTAGATATAAGATATACAATATATATTGTATATATAAATAGTAATCTGCATTTGATATAGTACCTTATGACTTTGAGACGTCTCAAAGTGCATCACAGAATATACTATAAAGTGTAGTGACTGTGTTTTGTGGGTGATAAGTAAGTTACTTGCTCCACACGCCTCTGTTTACCTAACAGTAGGATCCCAGTTAGACGATTGGCGGATCACTTTCCGGGGGTAATAATCCCTTTAAAAAGAAATTGGTCCCTCAATCTACCGCTGTTTGTGGGACAATGCTGTGTACAGTTGGCTGCCGCATTTCGCCACAAATACCCAGTCAATTCATTTACAGTATATTCTGTGAAGCGCTTTGGACGTCTCGAAGATGTGATAAGGCGCTGTATCAACTACAAGGATTATTATTATTAATGTATACGATCCATATACCCAAATCTGAGTCTGAAACTGAGGCCGTAGGGGCCCGTTTTCCACTTGTTCACAGCTTTACGATGATCAATCATCTGATCAGCTCCGCTCATCAATCATCTGATCAGCTCCGCTCATCAATCATCTGATCAGCTCCGCTCATCAATCATCTGATCAGCTCCGCTCAGGGCCCTGTGTACCTTTCCCTGTCCTCAGCCAAAGGCAATGAAGCACATCGCGGACCTCCTTCAGTCACTGTGATGGTGTCGGTGCTGTCAATCAGCCTCAGGACAAACGGCTGGTGTGGGCGGTAACTTATTGACGGCCAACCAATAGGGACAAAGATCAACAAGAACTGGACCAATGAGACCTGTGGGCGGGCTCTGCTCGGGTCGGTCTCCTAGCAACAGCGTCCCCAACACACACAGCGAGGAGCTCCCAGGAGACAGCACAGACCAGCACAGACCAGCAGAGCACACACAGCACAGACCAGCACAGCACAGACCAGCAGAGCACAGCACAGACCAGCACAGCACACACAGCACAGACCAGCACAGCACAGACCAGCAGAGCACACACAGCACAGACCAGCAGAGCACAGACCAGCAGAGCAGAGCACACACAGCAGAGCTGGGTGGTGGTGGGTGGGTAGGTAGGTGGGTGGGTAGGTAGGTGGGTGCTGGGTGGTGGGTGGGTAGATAGGTGGGTGGGTAGGTAGGTGGGTGCTGGGTGGTGGGTGGGTAGGTAGGTAGGTAGGTGGGTGCTGGTGGTGGTGGTGGATGGAGCCCCAAACGGAGCCCCTAATCGACCTCTCTAAATACTATGGCAAGAAAAACCTCAACAAGTTCTCGTTGGAGCAAGAGCTGAAGGAGTTCATGCTGTTTATGAAGAGGATCAATAAAAGCAGTGCCGGTCCCTTCCATTCCATGGGCCCAGACCACGACGCCTACATTCGGAGGTAAGTCAGCAGAGACATCCCACCTTCCCTTCCCTTTCCTACAGAGCTGTTGCAGACTTTCAGGATAATAATCTCTACTGTACTTCTCTAATTGC